TGGAAGTTGGGAATGTTTGCGAAGTAAGACCAGCATGATGAATAACTGACGCACAGTTAGTACACCAGTGTCCTCATATAATTGAGAAGTTGGATATAGAATAGGCTTGAAGGTCATAACTTTTAACACACCTCTTTGAGCTCTTTCAAGGCGTAATAAAAGGGACTTATTGGCTCCCCCCCATACCGTAACACAGTATGATAATACGGACTGAGCGAGGGCCAAATATACAGATTTAAGTGTAGAAGCATCAAGTAAATTACGTAGGGTTTTAAAAATATACATGAGTTTCCTCGTACGGTTAGAAGTTACCTTAATATGCTCATCCCATGTGAGTGAATAATCCAGCCAAACACCGAGGTACTTAAGTTTTAATTTACTCTGCAGTAGCATACATCCACAATTTGACATTCCGGGGCAGTTCTGATTATGAGCTTGGATAATAAAGTTAGGCGCAGGAAGAGATGAACATTTTGGTGCAAAAGCCATATAGTTTGTCTTGTCTAAGTTGAGAGTAAGAGAGTTGTAGATCAACCATGCATTAACAGCACCAAGAGCATATTCAGCATATTTTTTAGTCTCCAACCAGTCGCTACCGTGAGCCAGTAGAACTGTGTCATCTGCGTAGGTAATAATTTTGCAGTTTGGCAATGACATATTGCAGAGATCATTCATGTAAACTAAAAAGAGGGTAGGGCCGAGGACGCTACCCTGAGGCACACCGAACTTTAGCTCTACTTCATTACTAATGATTCCATCCACCAGAACGCACTGTGACCGGTTACTTAAATAGCTACTGAACATGTCCAAAGCAGTACCTCTCACACCAATATTCTCCAGCTTTCTAATCAAAATTGGAATGGAAACAGTGTCAAATGCCTTTGACAAGTCCAGGAAGATACCAATTGATTTTTGTTTGTTCGTGAGGTTTGTAACAACTGTTTCGGTTAATGATAACACTGCATCTTCAGTAGACTTACCCTTTGTGAACCCGAACTGATTAGCAGCTATAATTTGCCTATCCGTTAAGTATCCTGTCAGTCTAGTATTGATTATTTTTTCCAAAAGTTTTGATAACGTCGTCAGTACCGATATTGGACGATAATTTGAAACACAGTCTCTACTTCCTGACTTAAAAACTGGATGAACTAGAGCCTTTTTCATTGCTTGCGGGAAGATACCACACGAAAGACATAGGTTAAAAATATGTGTAAGTACTGGTAGAAGAGTGAATTTGGCTGCCTTTATCAACGATGCGGAGATACCATCCCAGCCGGTAGCAGATGTGCCCTTCAATCCATCAATCAACCGATCAATTTCTTCGCAGTCGGTACTAAAGAGAGTCATAGAGCTAAGCGGGGGATTTGTGTTGCTAAATAAAGATCCAAAAACAGGACTTACAGAAGAAGAATCAATTTTCGATGCCAGACTTTCACCTACGTTTGCGAAAAAATTGTTTACTACGTCAACTGAGGAAGATGAGTCACTAGATAATGCTAGCAATTCTCTTGATGGGTTTGGTGATTTATTAAGATTTGTCACCTTTTTTATTAAATCCCAGGTTACTTTTGTATTATTTTTAGCTAGTTCAAATTGTTTGATTTCGTATTGCCGTTTTATTTTCTTTATTAAATTGTTACAAAATTTTTTATATCTTTTATAAGTCGTAAGAAGAATAAGATTATTGGGTTCTTTTTTTGTATTTTGATATAATTTGTCACGATGTCTTAAACAACGCAGTAAACCAGGTGTGATCCAAGGCTTAATAATCCTTTTTCTACTAGGAATAATGGAATTTTGTGTATGATTTTTTACTACATTCGAAACTAAGTCAACAAAAATATTTGTTGCTAATTCAGGATCAGAACATGTGAGTATTGGAGAAAAGTCAATTTCATTTAGGCTCTCAGCGCAGGCAGTGACATTAATGCGTTTAGTTGTTGAGCGATTTTTAAGGGTCTTTGTTTTATGACTAGAGCAAAGAACAACAGCGGCATGATCTGTTATTAGTGAGTCTCACACTAAGGTCACTGCATTGGATTTTGTTTTCATAATCACATGATCAAGACAATTCCTATTTCGAGTAGGGAGGATATGTGCTGGCAACAAACCATGAAGCGCTACGGCATTTAGATAGTAATCACATTGAGGGTCGTTATTATCTCGAGCAATGTTAATATTGACATCACCCACAATTACGATATTATCATAAGACTTTAAGTTTTTCAAAGTATTATCAAGGCAACATAAGAAGTTGTCTATGTCTCTTTGAGACGGCGAGCGATAAAGAGCGATGACAGCAAAACTGGAAGATAATTTCAGAAGAATACCGCTAGCGTTATTCATTACAATTACCTCATGACTAAAAGGGATGTCTTCTTTAATATACATGACTACACCGTCATTTTGAATATTTCAGGAATAATCTGACTTCATAGAAACATACCCAGGTAATAGTGGAAGCATGGGGCATTTGCTTAACCAACATTCAGTGAGAACAATTATATCCAATGGAATATCAATTCGCTGCAACAGAGTGAGTAATTTAGAAAAATTACAGTTTACACTTCTAATGTTTACCTGAAAAACATTGAAAGATTTGTTGGGATTATTTAGAAACGATTTACAGTTTTCCGGCAAACAATTATACGACCGAGAAACTTGAAACTGATCAAAGTCATCTATGATATTTGTATTAAGCGTGATAAAAGTATGAAATTAAAGGGAGTATATGAAGGCAGCAGCGTAGGATCTGAAAAATGAATATTAATAAATTTACGATCTTTGGTTTTTGGTGGAAGGTTGGTACGAGTATGGATAGAAGCCACAAGTTCACACATTCGCCAGAATAGACTATGAAAAAAGTATAGCATTGAGTGGTTAGTAGTACTAATATGACGGACATTGAGCGACTCATTTGGCACCGCAAAAGCGAACCTGATATATCCATTTGCAGTGTCTTATTTGTTAAAAGCAAAGTACACAAGTAAATATGATAGTATGAATGATTTAAATTATGAAGCATTTGATTTATGAGCACACAGTATTGGTGTCGATTCTGTATAGAGAATGACAAAGCTACAGTGGTGTCGACTCTGGCATGATTCTCTAAACCTAAACTTAAATTTTACAACAGTGGTGTCAATTCTGGCGTGATTCTCTAAACTTAAAACTAAATTTAAGGTCAGCCTCACCTTTTCATTCTGTATAGAGAAGGACAAGGATGCACTGTTGTCAAATTTAAGTTTAGCTTTAGAGAATCATGCCAGAATCGACATCATTGTATCCTTATCATTCTCTATACAGTATGAGAAGGAGTGACTGATATTAAATTTAGCTTTAAGTTTAGAGAATCACGGCAGAATCGTCTCCACTGTTGTCAAATTTAAGTTAAGCTTTAGAGCATCATTCCGGAATCGTCATCATTGTATCTATATTATTGTCCTTGAACGTACGTATCGTTACTAGCTGTCTCAAATACTGATTGAAACGAATTGAGCGACAGCGCTCACTTTGTAAGCTTCAAAACGGCTGTTCGCTAGGGTCCGTCCATACTTTTTATTTTGGTCGAAGCGTCACACCGATATTCTAATGTAAAAATAAAAGAAGATTAATATAATTAAAGACTAGGCTCTATGGGCATTGTTCCCTTTGCCTTGAAACGGGAGAAACTTAAAAAATAAACACTCACTGTCAAAAACTGACATTAGGCTGGGACGAAATCGTGGTTAGGGTTAGAAATTAATTAAATTTCTTTATTTTGGAGCCATCAAGAATCTAATCTAATCTAAAGACATGTGCATTGATTTCTTTCCCACAAAAAATCTATTTGTCAATCTAGCTACCTACTTGGTAAATATTAAAAGTGCACACAATTAGATATGGATCACAGTTTATTCAGAAGCCGGTTTCAATGCAGTCTTTTATACCATGGATTCATGTTTTGTAGATATTACGATTGAATTTCTTGCAGTCGCATTTCACAGCATTTTATACTATTCTCATATCTATCCTAGCAGTATTTTCGAACCAAGACGGAAGTATAATGTTGTTGTGTATAATTGTATACATCCAGAAGTAAGCCAATACATAATTCTATGTTTGAAGAGCATAAAAGAATGCCTCAAAAATGGACAGCTTAATCGTGTTGTATTTGCAGTTACAAATGAAGAGTATAAACCCCTGACAAAGTTTGTGTTTGATATTTATAAAAAGGATGATTTTGACGAAACCAATGATGCATATTTAATTCAAACAGAACAAAACTTACGAGCATTTTGTTTGCATTTATTATCAAATTGTGATAAATTTAAATTTTCATCAGATGACTACAGTTTTACCATTTACATCCACACAAATGAAACTACTGCAGTCTCATTAGCGCTAACTCCAGGTTTAGAAGACTTTCCCTTAGTTGAAGTTGGTGAAAATAGTGTAAAAGAGACTGAAAACATAATTCCATTGAGAAATTTCCCTATCAGAGATCATTGTATAGAAAGTTATATAGAACTTTAAAATATCTGTTGTTTTTTTAAGTCTATTTATTTTCATGTAGGTTAATAGGATAATCTTCTATGTACTCTTGTTATGCTAAATACAGATTTTTTAATCTTCATGTAGGATAAAAGGATTATCTTCTATGAAAGTACTTTTTTCATGTTAAATGTAATAATTTTTAATAAAGGTTTTATTTTCCTAAATGTCTTATTAATCATTAAATAATTGGATCATGCTAATATAAAATTTCTAACAAAATACTTAAAGTGATAAACCTAGTTTTGTTAACATTCTCCTTGTTTTCATAATGATAATTATATATTTAAAGAAGAATGATATTAAGAATTATAGATTCACATTATTAGGTGTTTGGTATGTTATATCCTTGTTACATTTCATACATGCTTCATAAAGTTCACAACTATGACCCATGTAATACTATTATGTAAGAAATCCTAAATACAAGGCAGATTTATTTTCTCTTATTCTTAATTAATCTTCATTTAGACTCCATCCAGATTTTTCAATTTAACTGTGAGACAACGTAGGCGCGAATATATCTCGTCCCAATCTACATAAGCACCAATGAGTCTTCTCACATTGTTGCTGTTATCTTCGTAGGCATTTCGACCATGCAGCATTCTGGTATTGTTGAATACGAGTATATCACCTACGTTAGTTTTGAATGATGCAGAAAATTCGTTACTCAGTTTTAGAAACAGACCATGTGCTTGATACCAGGGTACTACCTTTTCTAACGGTTCAGGGAAATAGCTGCCTCTTTGAGGTATAGAGAAATTAACACGGAATAGTTCCCCATGTTTGTCTATACAAAACACCGGTGCCCTATATAACTTGAAGAATTCATTTCCGTGCTCGACGCCTATGTCACTCCATTCGACTTCAACCTCTGTTAAGATTTTGTAGTGCTCAGGATGATGCTGCTTCATGTACTCGGCGACGAAGAAGCTGTCTGACAACAAATTCTGCCCGCCATAGCTTTCCGTTTGGACTAGACAGTGCAATAGCGTCGTTCCCGGGCAATATTCGTAATAGGGCAAGTCCAGGTGCAAGGGCAAGTGACCTGATAAATAGGCCACGTTACTTGTGTTCGGAACGCTCTGCACCACGAACTTCGCTCCATAATGCGTTGTTTTTGGAAAAGCAACTTTTGCTATGATATCGTCGATAGCGTTTTCAGAATTCGGGGTACCCTGTATCAGTGTTACGCCATAGACAGATAGATTATAAAGCCAATCGTGCAAAGCCTTGTCGGAATCCAAAATTTCATTATAACTAAATCTCTTCAATATTTGATTGAATGTTTCGTTGTTCCACGTTATCTGGGCGGGTCGGTAGATCGCCTCGTTGTATTTACGCCGGTTTTCCCGCGCGAAACTCCTAAACTTTAGCCAGTTGAGTTGGTAAATTGATTTGTGGCCGTCCGTCCATAATATTTCAACGGATTTCTCATTGTATAACACTTGTTTGGGTTTGATGTTGAGATCGAATTTGCTCCAATCTAAGATTCTGCTTTTAGCCGAAGAGTGAAAACAATGTTCGCATTGGCAATTGTCTCTTAACCACACGTGTGGGAACTTCAAACTCTCACCAGCTATTTCCACGTTTAAAAAGTCATTTAAAAAGCGCACTGGAAAAATGTTAATTTTATTAAATCTATTTCTAACCAAATGTTTCACAATAAACATGACTGATGCTCAGTCGTATCAAAATAACTAGCCAGAGGCAACAAGCACAGACCGATAGATAATTATGTTCAAAGTATTAAGTAACTGAATAGCTCGGGCCTACGCGGAGCTGTGATAACTGGCGATAAAGATGATTGACATAATAATTAAATATATACGTACATTATTCGCTACATCTGGAAGCATAAGGTCGTAAAGGCACCTCAGGGAGCCGGTTTTAGATAAACAATACCTCTATCAACTAACTAGTTAAACAGAGAGATGTCGTTTCGCTGCTAAAACAACTTGTTAGATATGCTTTGCTGTAGATAGTTTAAAATAATTTCAGATAACGTCAATAGGTACCAATTACAATAGATAGATAAATTATTTATTTCCATCAGTATAGCACACAAATTCAAGTAAACAAATAGAAGAATGAAAATTACTAAATATGTAACTGTGTGCCACAACGTCACGAAAAGGGAAAAACTCAACGATACCTTTGCTCTGAGAGCCAAGCACTGGTTTTCAGTTCTGCCTGACAGTGACGTGATTAATACAAATAGTTTTTTTTAATTATTATTGTTATTATAATTATATCTGTTAATATTATAACTACACCATAAATTTTTACTAGAAAAAAAATCCAGCGGAGAAATCACGCGGACCAGGCAGGTTCGAGTCCCGTCTGCTACCTGGTCCGCGTGGATTTTTTTCTAGTAAAACTTTTATTTAGATTAAATCATCTAGAAGTTGAGGAGCTCGATGGCGCAAGTGGTTAGCGCGTTCCGCAGCGATCGTTGAATTTAAGCAACTTTCGCAGTGGTCGGTCATTGGATGGGTGACCATAATTTACTATCTCGAGCTCCTCCGTGTTTCCTCCGTGTTTCGGAAGGCACGTTAAGCCGTTGGTCCCGGCTGCATCTGCAGTCGTTAGCACCCACCAACCCGCACTGGGCCCGCGTGGTGGGTCATGGCCCAATCTCCCTATTCCATCCATAGGGAAGCCTGTGCCCCAGCAGTGGGGACATTAATAGGCTGATGATGATGATCTAGAAGTTAAATGCTTATAAAAAACATAACTACACCATAAATGTTTCAACATAATTGATTAATATTTACCCATTAGCATTTAGATACAAATTGTGATACTTGGAAAGCGGCAGAAACCGCTACCATACGACAACATGTAGTTATTCCTAGCCTTTGCATTTCCAGTAATATTAATAAATGTTTAGCGAGATATGATTCTCCTTAGTGGAGGCAGAATGTTGTTTTAGCACCTGGTCGCCTGATAACGAAAACTACCCTTAAACTCCTGCGTTTTGCCGATAAAGGTGGCTTTGCCTGTCTTGGTTACCTGTAAAAGTCATAACGTAGTGCAGTAGTAGGGAATTTTACCTTCTCATATAAATAACTCTTGAATTTAATAATGTCAAACATTAACACGGCTAGATGTAAACTGCTTCGATTTTATGTTCAACATCGAAGCCCTGTTTATGAAAGGCGATATATGAGTACGTGGCGGGACATTGAAACAAAAACGACAGCAGGCATTCTGAATCTCCTGCAGTAACCTCCTACTCCAACATCACCATAATTTAATCTTGAGATTATGTGTTTCACAGAGTAATGCGTGCATTTTCTGACAGTAGGCCACGTATCTTATAGAGAACTTTTAAGCGATAATAACAAGTCTTCACTAGACCTTATACGTAAGACTCAAAACGCAACTGACTGTCTAAAACAACTCCAGATTTCTGGCCTCACTGTCTACAATTTCACCACAGACTCTGACAAAAACAGCACTGCCTGTGACCTTATCTAATTGTTTACTCGTGCCGAGTACCATAAATTTGGATTTTCTTGGATTGAGGACTTAGGCATTATCAGCAGACCAAGCAGCCACCGCATCCAAATCTATATTGAGCTCACGAATCGCTGCGATTATAGTGTTTGGTGTTTTGGACACGCATAACTGCACATCATCAGCGTAACAATGATACTTGTGTCTTATAGCAGTTGGTAAGTCGGCAACATATATAAGAAAGAGTAAAGGCCCAAGTATAGACCCCTGAGTGACACCACGTCTAACAAGCTCTAAGCCCAAAGTCAAAAAAGACCTATCCTCTTTGCACAGTCTTACCGCTTGTCGTCCGTCACTGAGATAACTATTGAGCCATCTGACTGTTACGGCGTCGCATCCATAAAATTGTAGTTTCGACAACAGAAGGGTATACCCCCTGAGACAATCAAATGCGCGAGAAAAGTCAAGTAGCGCTAGAAGCATGTCATTTCCCGTATCCTGTATTAGAGTTTTTGGTCTTTGGCTCTTACATAGAACATCTCCATGCAAGCCTGTGCTATACTGTTTAAGTTAAACAACGGAAAGAATAAAAAAAACTAAGAAACAAAAAAATAAAACATATCAGCAGGATCAAACCCGAGATCGCCGGATACAATGTCGTGCCGCGCACCGTTACATCAAAGCGCTACAGATGAGTTTGATCAATGTTAGGGACACTAGCTTGTAAGTAGTGATGTTACGGTCTTGAATTTTGACAAACCGGATTTGATCGGTTAGTAATACATGCAAATCGGTTTCCGAACCGAACCGCCAAATTTTAAGTAAACCGCGGTTTGAACCGTTTGACGAGTTGACGAATGAAACTTACGAAACAACAGGTGCTATTTTTTTTTAATTCTACATATTTTATTGATATTACATCGTGCAAATATTTAAAGGTAATTGAAAAATAACAATTAAAATATGAAAACAAATAATAATAATCAGAATTAAAAATGTCAAAATAAAAATAAACAAATATCTATGTAATACCGTGTTTAAAAAATTACAAAAAAATACATAAAACCGTACTTCTTAACTTTGAGAATAAAATACAATTTTAATAATCAACCATATAATAAATACGTAACTTATTTTTGTAAAATCATTTGAGCCGTAGAAACTTTATTTGGTACAAACAACAATTAAAAAGTTTTCTTACAACTATTTAGGAATAATATTTGGTCTATTTTTTTAGAAGCTGGGCAATTACGTCGCATATTACATAATAATGAAAACAAAATTACACCGTCAAGTCAGTCAAATCTACCAGAGTCTGTTTCATTTCGGTTCGGTCGGTAAGTCGGTTATGGCTGTTGTATTTAAATTGTCGATGCGCGCTAACCGTATCCGCTGCTGTAAGTCGGTTCGTATTGGTCGGTCAAGTTTTATTAGGGTCGGTAAAGCACGTCAGGAGCCGCACGCGATTTGTGGATGGCGGCATAAACAAGAATTGACAGGCGCGCATGCGCGCAGCGCGATACGAACGAATGCCATGGTAGAACCGGTTTACGAAGACGTTAACCGATTCAACTCGGTCCATGCTCAAACCGGTTTGAACCGGTTTGAAAAGTCAAGTCGTAGACATGGGCGTTTTTGGTTTTGAACGCAAACGGATATTTATCGGATTTCAGATTTCAAAATCGATTTTAAAATCCGTTTTTAGATATCCGATTTCAGATGTGCTGAACTTAGCCAATTCACTAGTTTGTGTTATGATTTGGTTTTATTAGCTTACGACAATCACAAACAATTAATTGTAGGAAGCAAGGATACTCGTAGATTTTCGCGATTTTCCTTCATGCTTTAAATCTAGGCTTAGGACTAGCAGAAAAGTTATGTTTACGGTTAAGAGTAAAACTACCACGCCGCGCTATACAACCACACCAGGCTGGTGCACCACGCGCAGGTAATGTGTGACCCACACGTGCCCCACCTGCGGGGCATGCTTCACCTACCACGCCGCGCTATACGACCACACCAGGCTGGTGCACCACGCGCAGGTAATGTGTGACCCACGCGTGCCCCACCTGCGGGGCATGCTTCACCTACCACGCCGCGCTATACAACCACACCAGGCTGGTGCACCACGCGCAGGTAATGTGTGACCCACGCGTGCCCCACCTGCGGGGCATGCTTCACCTACCACGCCGCGCTATACAACCACACCAGGCTGGTGCACCACGCGCAGGTAATGTGTGACCCACGCGTGCCCCACCTGCGGGGCATGCTTCACCTACCACGCCGCGCTATACAATTACACCAGGCTGGTGCACCACGCGCAGGTAATGTGTGACCCACGCGTGCCCCACCTGCGGGGCATGCTTCACCTACCACACCGCGCTATACAACCACACCAGGCTGGTGCACCACGCGCAGGTAATGTGTGACCCACGCGTGCCCCACCTGCGGGGCATGCTTCACCTACCACGCCGCGCTATACGACCACACCAGGCTGGTGCACCACGCGCAGGTAATGTGTGACCCACGCGTGCCCCACCTGCGGGGCATGCTTCACCTACCACGCCGCGCTATACGACCACACCAGGCTGGTGCACCACGCGCAGGTAATGTGTGACCCACGCGTGCCCCACCTGCGGGGCATGCTTCACCTACCACGCCGCGCTATACAACCACACCAGGCTGGTGCACCACGCGCAGGTAATGTGTGACCCACACGTGCCCCACCTGCGGGGCATGCTTCACCTACCACGCCGCGCTATACGACCACACCAGGCTGGTGCACCACGCGCAGGTAATGTGTGACCCACGCGTGCCCCACCTGCGGGGCATGCTTCACCTACCACGCCGCGCTATACAACCACACCAGGCTGGTGCACCACGCGCAGGTAATGTGTGACCCACGCGTGCCCCACCTGCGGGGCATGCTTCACCTACCACGCCGCGCTATACAACCACACCAGGCTGGTGCACCACGCGCAGTTAATGTGTGACCCACGCGTGCCCCACCTGCGGGGCATGCTTCACCTACCACGCCGCGCTATACGACCACACCAGGCTGGTGCACCACGCGCAGGTAATGTGTGACCCACGCGTGCCCCACCTGCGGGGCATGCTTCACCTACCACACCGCGCTATACAACCACACCAGGCTGGTGCACCACGCGCAGGTAATGTGTGACCCACGCGTGCCCCACCTGCGGGGCATGCT